TTTGGTAAAAGTTGTCGTAGACATTTACGGCAACGTTTAAAAAAAGTTGCCATATTAAACGTTGCCGTAGACACTTTCGGAAACGTTTTTTAAATGTTGCCATAAGTGTTTACAACAACATTTGCCGTATTCTTTCGCTCTAAGACTACAATGAGGTTTGCAACATACGTTCAAATGTTGCAAAAGGTCTTCAGCAACTTTTTTTAAACGTTGCAAAATGCTATTTTTGTTGTAGTGTATGATGCGACTAAAAATTGCACATGTTATTTCTCAAGCTTGATGTGCCTAATGTCTGAGATTTACTGGAAGCGAGATCTTCCAATACTTAAAATAAAGGCATTGAGGTGTGTTATCGTCGTCCCTCCAATGCTTAAATCAGTGAGAATTTATGCATAAGGCTATGAATTGGAGATAATGAAAAACGTACCTAGATAATGAAGCTTGAACATGTATTTATCGACATTGGTGGTGGAGTTGTAGAATGATTTAGCTGCCTACAATTCTTATCCTCATTGTGTTAGGTGTTTGTGTTATATTTAAATTCATTTTCCATGTTTTGAGTTTTTTGAGTATTTAAACACTCCAAATGTCAAAAGTCATTTTGAGTTATATGTTGTAAAATTATCCTCGTTTTCAAAAACGTAATTTTGAAAATAATATACCAAACACATTTTTGAGTTTTTTATAAAACTGAAAATTGAGAATAATCTCAAAATGGCAAACCAAATGCATTCTAAAATTGAAGATATTTTAAAGTACAATCAAACATGTTATCCCGTCCAAATCATTACATTACTTTTATTTTATATCACATTACTTTTATTTTATATCGAATTTGGCGCAAATGGTAATCAAGCCCTAATTTGAATTAGGAAAAATTGCAACTAGGTCACTAACTTTAGATTTATTACAAATGGATCCCACATAGGGGCAAATATAGGAGGGAATCCTATATCAGATTGAAATTATATTAAATTGTAATTATTCAACTAAATAAAATTAAGCTCATGTTTGATCCCCATTACCTGAAAATGAAAATGGGGGAAATAGTATTTTTTAGAAAAATGAGTGATTAAAAAAGAAGGAAAAATTTTCGACTTACGTGTAATATTATTTTATGAAAGATTGTGTAGTTGAAAATAGGAGAGTGAAAAATAAAATGTAATGTAATTTAATTTAATAGGGATCAAACAAGGGCTAAAGAACAATTACCAAATTGAATTAAATTGAAAGTTTAGGAGCTCTTCTTTTCATGTTTCATTTTTTCATTTTGAGTTTTGTTTTGAATGCTTAATTTGAAATTGTTGAAAAAACGTTCTTTTTGTCATTTTGAAAAATTGTTTTGCGAAACATAAAACTGAAAAATACGTTTACTTTGAAATTTTGATGATATTTTTATTCAAGAAATCTGATTATTCAACAAATTATAATATTTTAATGTCAATATAGTATTAAATAACATATAAATTTTGACACTGGTGAATCTTGAAATTTTTTTTTCTAGATATAAAAAACACAACCTAAATTAAATTTGGCAAAACAGTTCAATAGATACGATTAGAAGTTTACGTATTATGACAAAATAAGCAAACACTAAACAAAATATAAAATACATCCCGTTGCATTGGAAAGTTGTTTGAGCTCCTTATGACCACGTCAACGTATACTCGCGAATCATTCATAAATAATAAAGCCTGTTGATAACCATCTCAATTACCTCTACAAAGGTGAGTAATCTCTCCAGACTAAACCAAATATAGCTGCTAACCATCTCAATTCATATACCTTAATATCCAAACTCACATTACTTATTACAGAGACACCAAGCTCGTAGCAACCTTCATCCGAGATAGACAAAAAATAACCATATGATCATCAACTTGAATTTACACACCCGAATTTGGATTAACGCCTAAAGATACCATACTAAGAGACTTCAATCCATTTAGCCTAAACAAGGTGGTTACAAGAGAATCCATGGAGAAATTTTGCGACAAAGTTTGATTCGACACTCGAAATGCATTAAAATTACCAACCCCTTTTTGTTTCACCAAAGATTATGATCCCGGGAACCAAATTGTCTTCACAAGTTATGTCCACCTGAGTAGTTGACAACTAATAGAAGTCTGTGCTAGTATTAAGCCGTAAATCTAACTGTTTTGGGTATTCCAATTGCTCCCTTAGCTGCAAAAGTACTTTCGTTTGGGTGTATTGTAGTTGATAAGTTCCCAAAATCAAGAAGCTCACTGAAAAACAGAGAAATGCAAAGAATCTCGAGCATTCCCTGGACTTATAATTTCATGAAGAAAAGCACATAATGTCACTAAAAACTGCAAATTCTGAAGAATCCATGTAAAATAAACTAGAGATGAGAACAAACTGTAGTCCAAGTTTGTTCGAAAAGCTGATTCAAGATCCAGGATTCACTTCATCAAGAAAATATCAAAGCACAAAACTTCGTGAAAATGACATATTTATTGAATCCCTCAAAAATACGAAAACAAATTGCAGCATTCTATGGACTTATAATTTCATGAAGGGAAGACCCAAAAAGTAAGCTGCAGATGGAAACAAATTGTAGTCTTAGGTTTTACAAAAAGCTGATTCAAGATCCATATCATTGACAAAAGATGCAGAAGTACAAAACTTGGCGAAAATGAAAAATAGCAGAAGAGGGCTGCCCAGAAAGCTGGTTCAAGATTCAGAGCACCAACAAAGCCGGAAAAGAGAAAAATTGAACAAAATAAGTGAAAATAAGAAAGAAAATAAAGGAAGGAATACATAGCAGTGACTCTGCTGGAGACATGCAATTAAGATTATAAGCCCATTCTATACCAATTCATGGTGATCTAGGATGCTTGATGAAATGAAGACTAACTATCGAAGAGTTACTAAAACAATTTATAAGCTAAATTGATCATTGAATTTAAACTAATTCAAATCAATTTGGTTGCAGAAAATCATTTCAATTTAATATATTAATCCTCAATCTGATGAAACAAGAAGCACATAGAAATCACTAACGTAAATAAGCCCAGCACTCCAGAGAAGTTAAATGGATTTAGTACACAGATAATATTCAATGGACATTAAATGAATGTGCACAGTGTATTGATAGGAGGCTAGTATAATTTTCCTTTCATACGATGTCAAATCTTTTAGCATTTGGAGCATTATTTCTCCTTAGTAACTCTTGTCATCGCTCCAATTGTATACTATATAGTAGTATTCCTAAATTTAACTACTCTGCTATGGAAAGTGGAACTATTCTACTATTAAAGTTAACTTCTATTAATTTTCTAATCACCAAGCTCTACCGCGCTTTCCACTGGAAATTCACATTTCTAACCTTTTAACCAATAAATAATTCGCTACTAGAAGTCAATAAACAAAAATTTCATATATTCACAACATATAAGCCAAATTTCATAATCACGGACACATATATCTGTATCAGTTTATTTTGAAGGAGATCAGATGTATAAATCCCATAATTAATTTCTTTAGAAAGATTAATGAAAGGATACGGTAATAATAAGCTGTTGCAGAAAGCTGTCTGAATTCCACCCTCCGGCCAGCAACTTGGTCGCGGCCCATGTCCAGGCGACCAGGCGACTCTGACCAGAGCCTCAATTCAGTCCAAACAACACTTAATCTATCTGAATTGATTCCAGAAAAATCACCATTCGCGATCCCCAATTGACCCGGTTTGATTTCTTCAAATTCTGATGCTGTCACGTCAACCCATGGTGGCGGACTACGTGGGTCGACATCGTCGGTCTCTGCTGCACCTTGCCCAGCAACGGATCCAACCCAATTTCGTCCAGAACAAGTGGTGGTAATGGGTGTGAGAGAGAGGATACGCGAGAGAGTTAGAGAGATGGGAGAAACAGGAATGGGTGTGTTTCCTGTGTTTTGTAGAAATACCGGGTTTTGAATTCAAAACAATCATTTTTGACATTTTGAGTTTTTAGTACAATTTTTTTTTTTTTCAAAAATTTATTTTTGAAAATGGAAAAAAGAATGCGTTTTCTTTTGAAAAAAAAAAAAAAAAAAAAGCCCCTTAGCCACTAAAAAAAAAAAAAAAAAAAAAAAAAGCCCCTTAGCCACCGGGAATGACATATATTCCCAAATAAAAGTACCAAACAAACAAGGCCTAAGGCTTCTTTGTAAACATCGCTCACACTCACACTGCACTTCGGAGATTCCTATGTTTTTCGACAAAACTTATAAAACCATACCTTTGTGTGTAATTTTCTCGGTGACAATTTTAATCTTTTCTCATTTTTCTTCACCTGGGCACTCATTATGTCTGCCTCAGCTGCCGGATCGGCCATTGTTTCGTTAAACTCAGCCGGAATCTCCTCCAAGCCCCACCGGAAAATAGCCCATTTCCGGCAGTTATCTTCGCCAATAAAAGTCCCGCATTCTCTTAACTTGCAATGCAGATCCCCTAGCTTCTCTTCATCAGGTATCAGAAATATATGATTTCCGAACATTTTCTCTTCTATTAGTTATATCTATACGTTTCTGTATACTTTTTGTCTGTATTATGCTTTTGTAAGTAGTGTGCATGCACTTCTTTGATTTAATTATAAATATGAATTGGGGATTAGGAGATTTTTGATTAAAATAATGCAATCTTCAGCTTTTGTAGATTAATCAGCATTTTTGTTGAATACACGGCACCTAATAAATTTATTTTTAAATGCTTAAAATTTTAAATGAAATTGAATCAATGGCATGTTTGGAACGGTGGAAGAAAACAAAATTTAAATTTAAAATCTTGTCCACTGTAGTGGCCAATTCTGTATAGTTCTGTGCAGGAAATGTACCCTGACTGCTGATATTTTTAATTGAATGGTTTATATAAAGGCATAAAAGCCCACGTTGCGTCCATTGAGCAAGCAAATACTGAAGCAATGCCTAAAGTCGAAGCTCCGGTTGTTATTGTCACTGGAGCTTCCAGAGGAATTGGCAAAGCAATTGCTCTGTCTTTGGGAAAAGCTGGTTGTAAGGTTGGATTCTTTGCCTTGCTACTGATCTGGACATTTATTTAAGATAGTCGTTTATGCAAGTTCTGGTTAATTATGCATTCTAAATTGCAGGTTCTTGTTAATTATGCAAGGTCATCAAAGGAGGCGGAAGAAGTTTGCAAAGAGGTGAATGATTCCACTGACAATTATTAAAAGTATCGAAATTATCGGCAACATAAACATACTTTTTTCTGGATTGTTTTAAGTATCTATATTCATAGTTCTTTACTTCAAATAAATGTGTTAACCCATTCAGCTATATGCGACTTTGAAAGTTTCCATGGAAGGTCCATACTTTCTAATCAGTACAGTTGTTTGATTTCACAGTTGAAAGTTGCTAATCCTATGAGGATTCAACATTCCTTTGACACCCCTTCCCCCCCGAAACACGCACGCACGCACGCACAGAGAAGAATATGGGTTAAAGACAAAAATCAGCTGCCACCTGCAGCTACGTCAATCTATAGAATAACTTGTGTATAATTTTTGGCTAAGCTTAAAGTAAAATTTAAGTTACTTCTCCCTAACATATATCAAAGTTACTTCTTTTTTGACACTAGAGTTTGCTTTCATGGAATATAGGTCTTTAAAAACTTAGAAATTACTATGTTTGTTCAAGTCTTAGCCAATCATGCTCTGCGTCTTGGTTAGTTAAAATAGAAAGTGATTAGTGTCTACTATACCATTTCTTGCAGATCGAGACATATGGCGGACAGGCTCTTACTTTTGGTGGAGATGTTTCAAAAGAAGCAGATGTGGAAGCAATGATCAAAACTGTGAGCAAATTTTCCGGTTCTCTCAATCATCAGTTTATCTAGTATACATCAGTATGGTAATATTATGTTACGGGACATTTGCAGGCTGTCAATGCATGGGGAACATTGGATGTTTTGATTAACAATGCAGGTAATTGAAAGTTCAACCCCGATTCAGTGGTATTTTTATTTCGCACTCCATCATAATTTTTAGACGATTTGATATGGTTTCAGGTATTACTAGGGACGGTTTGTTGATGAGAATGAAGACATCTCAATGGAAGGAGGTTATTGATCTTAATCTTACCGGGGTGTTTCTATGCACACAGGTAGATTTCTTGAAGCTCCTATATGCATATTGGATTCTTAAATTCGTGTATAATGATCTGACATTATTATTCTACACAGGCAGCCGCCAAAATAATGATGAAGAAGAAAAAGGTATTCCCAAATCATATTTCTATATTTTTACAAAATAATTACATTAACTCGAGCATGTTTGGTAAAGTAGATTAGATGTACTCATACTAGAGGAAAAGGAGAAGTTTGAAAGTGTCCAGTGCAGTTTATCAAAGTGATCATAAAAAGAAGGTTGCTAAAGATTGATCAAAGTGAATCTGTGACCGAAGTTAATATAAAAGGCATTGAAAGTAGATGATTTCGGTTTTTTACCAATTTCAGGAATCGAATATAATTTTGGCGACTGATTGTGCAGGGAAGGATTATTAATATAGCATCAGTTGTTGGTTTAACTGGCAATATTGGGCAAGCCAATTATAGTGCTGCAAAAGCAGGAGTAATTGGATTTACGAAGACAGTTGCCAAAGAATATTCAAGTAGGAACATTAATGTAAGTTTCATGGAGTTGTTTATTTATCTTAGCAATATAAATATGCTAATCACAACTTACAATATCACGTGGAAGTTTTAAATTTAGTCGAGGTTCCGATTTATAGGTTAATGCTGTCGCTCCTGGATTCATTGCATCTGATATGACTGCTAAGCTCGGTGCAGACATTGAGAAAAAGATTTTGGAGATTGTTCCTTTGGGTGAGTTATTTATCTTGTGCAAATTTATTTATCTCCCACCCATCTTTGTGCCAAAAAGGGGGTTCTTCTAAACATAGTTTTGTTTTTATTTGCCCTTCCTCAAATATATTTCTAAAATGGTTCTCTAAAAATTCTCATAGAATCGAGAATGACTTTTTCATGTTTTACATGCCAGATCCATTTATGATCCTCCACTAGTTGGATTGATGGATAGTTTGATTGGAAACGAATGCATAATCCATTATTGTTAAGGATTAAACGAATAATATGTGCTATAAAGAGGAGTTGATAATGTGAAACAGAAAAAAAAAAAAAAAAGCAAGAAAAACACATGATTTTAGGTGGTTCACTCTCAATATGGGAGGTACATCCATCTGGTACTACTGCAGAATAAAGAGAATTACAATTTGTTTTGGACTCATGCCTTCTCTGTTTTTTCTCTACTGCCCTTTATATGGGAGGAAATTATTTGGGTAACCTAGTACATGTGTGAATTTCTCTAACTACCACTATATCACTTAAAAGATTTTGCGAAAAAGTGTACGGTATACTATTTCGAACATATTGGACGTGTTTGATTGTGATAATAACTAGATTGCTATTCTTAATCCAGGAAGGTATGGTCAACCAGAAGAAGTAGCTGGACTGGTTGAATTCTTAGCCCTCAATCCGGCAGCTGGTTACATCACTGGACAGGTTTCAAAAGCATCCTTTCTCCTTTTGATTTCATTTGTATCATAATGCACTTTGTCCAAAAGAACACTGGTTTTAAGGACGAGTGATTGTCCTTTTCCGACTCTTACTATCCAACCTAAGAACAAATAGCTAATGCGTTCCACTTAAAGAAGCTCTACAACTCCTCGAAAAAGTTTTTTGTGCAATCATTAGCCTCCTTATTACCTTATCTACTTTATTTGCTTGTGCAGGTACTCACCATTGATGGAGGCATGGTAATGTAAGAGGCTTGCATCGAACTGTTCTATACGCGAAACTACATTTCTCTCTCCAGACGACATGCACGTTCATCCTGACTCGCTTGCATGCCTTTTTACTGAATAATTATAAAGGATTAGTTGTGAACTTTGATGGTTTCTATTTGTTGAACTTCACTATATTAAGTTATAATTCTTCTTTTTCCAAATGCAAATCCATTTTGCAACGAGTTGTATACTTAAATGGATGTCAGCATTAGATGCAAGAATAATGATGTGTGATGAAGACAATACAATGTTCAATATTTTAAAACTTCTTGATTTTTTATTTTTTCCTTTTTAAGACATGTTTCTTGGGAGGATTGGATATACTTCTGGAATTTTTACTACATTGTAAATTAACTTTTGGATTTTAGTTATTAAAGTTTTATTTCTACAAAAGCCGAAAAACGACTCAGGTCGAGAATTCATTTAAAATTAATACATACAAGTTTGAGAAAACAAATTAAAGAATATGGACAAAGGTTAGATATGATTTCAAATTTAAAAAAAAAAAAGAAAAAAAAAAAGGGAGGTTTGCTCTTAAGATTTACGAGCCCAGTCAAGATATGAATGAAAAATAAATATAACAATTTGAAATAAATATAGGGCTAGACTTTACCTCAATTGCCAAAAGTAAAATATATATTGAAAAAATGCTGAAAGTTAACAAACAAAATTATTTGTGAGCCTGGTTGAGAGTTGTCAAGAAAAATGAAATTAATTTTTTTATCTGTTTTTTTCTTTTAAATAAAGATGTTCTTTGACAAACAGCTTCCATTTTCATATTCATCATACTAGGTACGTAAAATTGCGCAATATTTTAATTTCTTTTCATTTTCTCTAACCAGACAATTGACTTCGATGATTTTTATTTTATTTTTCTTGGTTTCTTGAGCAAGATGTGTTTTATACACACAAGATAACTGTTCTCATTTGATTGGGTTGATGGGTATCAGAATATTCTACTAGTACAAAACTATTTCTAATGCAGGAAAACAAGAAATTTTTTTTATCTTGCAGTTGCTGCTAATCCTCGCATTTTCTTATCCAAAATTGAAATCCGAAGACAGCCGCCAAATCCCAAAATTGGAAGACTTCTGGGTAATTATTCTTAGCAACTGTCTGAAAGTTAAATACGATTTCTTTCTGCTTTACTTATATTTTGTTCCTTCTTAGTTACAGATTTTCAATCATAGGGAAACCCTTTTGTTTCTTTGAAATCCAAGTTGCTGAGGTCAACCAAGAAGACATCTAGAGGGATCAGATTGGATCTCCTGTTTTCGAAGTGTGGATCGATCAATGAATCCAATTGTTCTGTGAAAAAGGATTCACGTAGTTGACTCTTGACTCCAAATTTATTCGAATCAAGGCTCGTTTGCATCTTGGGCTCCCATGGAAATCCCAAAACTCTATGATTCACATCTTCTTGTATTCACCTTTTTCTTCATCTTCATTTATTGCTTGGCATATTTCGTCATTTTGAAACATTGGAGTAAAAAGTATAGGGCTGAAGCTTCAAGTTGTGTCATGTCATTAGCCCATGGCACCCCTGCAGTTTTCTTAGCCCTTTTCTCTATACTAAAATCTCAAAAGAGTATAAGCTTAAACCAACTTAATTTTGCTTCCCCAAACACTGCCTTACAAAGCATGGTACTAGAATTTAGCACTGCTTATTTCTTGATGGACCTCTTCCACTATATTGTCCTAATTCCAGTTGATGTGCTTTTCATTGCACACCACCTAGCCACACTATATGTACTTTTGACTTGCAGATATGTTTTAGGACATGGGGCAGTGGCCATTCTTGGATTTCTTTTTCTTGCTGAGATTACAACATTATGCCAAAACACGTGGAGCCTAGCTAGATACAGAAAAGTCGACTCGAAAAAGGCTGCTAAAGTGTATGAATTCTTGTCACCCATTTTCTTTGCATACTATACTATGGTTAGAGGGATTCTTGGACCACTGTTCGCGTACAAGATTGGTGTGTTTTTTGCAAGTGGAATGGACGGTGATCTAATTCCTTTGTGGGCACGGATTTCTTGGATGGTTGTGACTGTTTGTACAATTGGGGCTAGCTTATTGTGGATAATGAATAAATGGTTAGCTTTGTATAGAGATAGAATCAAGAAAGAGGTGAAGAAAATCAGTTAACTTGTAGGAACTCAATGGAAATGAAAATATATTGTGAAGTAATAAATTTGGAAAATGTACTTGTTTATAGATTAGTAATGGAATTTTATCTTCGGTTGGCAATGTTATTTTGGGCAACCCTTAATCCCATTTCTTGATTAGTGCATGTCATCCTTGTGCTGGACATGCTAATCTTCTTTGTTTCATTTCAATGTTATTGGATATACTCGAAGGAATGGCAATTGGCAACCCTTAACCTTCTTAAAGAGAGACTTCGTTTTCCTGATATTATCGAGTGCTACTTACTCGACGCAGTGAAACGACTCTCGCGTTGTTTAGGGTGATGATTAGGATCTAAAGAAACTCAACTGATGTAATCCTTAGTCTCCATCTAATGACAAGAAAAATTGTGCATTTGCTTCTTGCTGCCTTCCTATTTGACAAAGCAGCACAATTCATTGTCAGCAAGTGGTATATCCCACAGAATTAGTTTTATTTTGTTTCGTAAATTGGCTGTTGTTGGAGGGATCTTATAATGGACCCTTAGCATATTCTCTACCAGACAAGATTAATAAACAAGACGTACAAGAATAGACAAGATTAAAAACACAAGTCGTCCAGTGTGTTTGACAGTTGAGTACGATTAAAAATCCAATCTATCAAACATGTCGTATGTGATGACATGGTATGGGAGCTCAAATTGAGAGAGTTGTAACAAATGTGCTCTAGAACTATGAATACCGTAATGCGTTCATATAAAGAAGACGGATATCATTTGTGGGATGATCTGTCCAAATCACATTAGCCTTAGTACTACATACCAAACATGTGCAATAGCAAATATTAATCCTTTATCTTGCAAGAAAAGTTCATCGATAGAATTTGGAGTTCTTGGCTAACTAAAAGATATTCATTAGTCCACCAATGGATGGCAGAATCATCAATAAAACACAAAGAATGAATCAGTGAAAATGATAATAGCAAATTGACCACATTATGCAAAAGAACATCTAATATCTTCGTCGAATTTGACAGTAGCCTTGACGAAGTAAACATTGATGTGTACAGTTCTCTATAGCAAGGCCTCGAGGGACTGAAACAGTTGAGATTTATCAAACTTAGGAGGACTGTGTTCACTCTATTTCCAATAATTCTCCATCAGGGGATCGATTCACAAGTGGGACTGCACCAATTGTATCATAATCCACATCTTTTTCTTTATTGGCAGATAATAGGAGATGACCAACACTATTCAGAAGAGGGACTCGAATCCAGCAGCAAATTTCACTTCGGTGGATATACTTGGAAGATTACTCTTCAAACCCTGTTCTTTCATTGTTTGGGAGGACGGATACACTTAAAAATTTCTGCCAAATTGATGTTTGGGCTGTTTTTGAACCCTGAACAGATTATGAATAATTCTGCAGGATAATTATTTCAAGTCTGTAGCATCTAATTTTCTATCATGCTTCCTTCGCCCACAAAGAAGAAACTTGAGAAACCTGGCAGCACATTTAGTAGAATCCAACTTCTTGTCACTGATTGAGCTAGACTTGGCATATGAATCGAAGCAATATAGTTCAACAGAGCATAAACCTACTCTGCTAGCTAAATCACAACTAGCATCCCATTCATCCTAAATTCCAGAACCTGCAGCAAGTGGAAAATTGAGTGATGCTCGTATGCAAGATGTAGAGCATGATTGGCTAAGCTTAAAAATTTTACGTATAAGAAGTAGCATGTTAGGCTAAGCTTAAAAGGGACGTAACAGTTACTCTCAAAAGTATGTATTTTGAACTTAACCAAACATGCTCCAGGTTAAATAAATATTTGGTCAAAATTGGATATGAGTTACTTATTTTGATAGTAAAGTAAGAGTTATTTTCTACATAAATTACATTTTTCAAGTAACATTAAGAAAAAAAGTAATTTATCCAAACAATTCAGCATTAGCATAATGGAGATTACCTTCATCTCTCCATCTTCAAGAGGATTTCATTTTCTTCATGAAGTCTCGGATCATCTCAGCTTCATCATACATATTCTTCTGTCTGATTTCATCCAAAAGCAAAGAACATGTTAGATATCTTGGTTTGATGTTTTGACGTGTCATATCTTTGAAAAGTTGATAGGCATGCTCGCATTTTTTGGTTTTGCATAGCCCATGGATCAAAAGGGTGTAAGTCGACAAGTCAAGACATAGATGATGCTTCTTCACAATATCGTCCAACAATTTTGTTATGTAATCACCCGTCTTCCCAGCTCCAAAATACAGCTTTAACAGTGGATAATACGATTGAACATCAGGTTTACAACACGACGCATTTTCTAAATTCTTGAGATACTGCAGTGCTTTTTGTTCTTGTCTATGATGACAAAACATAGCAATCATTGAATTATAAGTTGATGTATTTGGGCTCGTTTTATTCTTGGGCATTTCCTCCAACAAAACACGAGTAGCCTCCTTCACGCGACCAGCCCGGCCTAAAGAATGAATCAAGGCATTGTAAAACAGTGTATCGGGTTTACAACCAACCGATTTCATTCTTTCAGATATTTGCAAAGCTTCCTCAAACTCTCCTGACTTGGTCAAGGAATGCATAATAGTTGTGAAAGTAACAACATTAGGAGAACATCCTTGAGTTTTCATTTCATCAAGAAGTTCATAGACCTTATGGAAGTTGTATTGATTGCAATAGAATTGAATGATGGTCGAGTAGCTTATGACACATGGGCGACAACCATGTCCTTTCATCTCTTGAATTGTCCAATGTGCCTCCTCCACCCTCTTTATTTTGCACCAGCCATGTATAAAAATATTGAAAGTGTTTGCATTTGGTTGAATATGTGACTTCAGCTCCAAGAATATCGTGCGTGCTTGCTCCACTTTATGCTCTTTACAAAGGGTGTCAAGTAACAAGTTCATAGATTCTGTATTCTTTCCCAATCCAAATTTTCCCAACTCGTCGAATATCCTTACAGCATCTTTCCAATCTCCCGCACCAGCAAATCTCCTCATGATCTTTGCTATGGTATTAAGTGAGACGAGATTGCTCTCACGCATTTCCTCCACTAGTGCATTCACCTTTTCCATTTGCTTCATTTTTCCCAATATGTCCACCAATCTATCATACAATTCTGGTGAGGGTTTATAGTGAGGACATGCTTCTGCCCATCTAAAAACACCCAACGCAGACTTCCAATCATCTTTGAATCGATGAAGTAACCTATCAACAAAGCCATGAGTGATCTTTATGGTCTTACATGCAGAATCATGCACCAGAGACTTGAAAACTTCGTCCTCTGTATTTGCCTCACAAACTTTAGAAATGACAACATCAACATCGGACTTCCCATGAAGGTCCACGCATTCTTCTGCTTTAGCGGAAGATCTATTGCTCATGAAGTGGTCAGACTCGACACATACATGAAAAGGTGAAGTTGAAAAGGAATGAAAATAACTTGTGGAGACAACATGGGAAGTGTCATATGTCTTCGGTCGGAAAACGAAAAAGTTGATTTTTGCAAGATTTCTGACAGGCAAGAACATAAGGGTAGTGGAATCGCTTCAAGATTTTGTCCTGCAAATGAAATTTAATCACCGAACAATCCACTTTACTTGCATCCATTAAAAAAATAAACATAAACACCAGTTAACCTTCCCAAAAAAATAAAAATGAAATAAAATAAAATAAAATTGCTCAATACAAATAAATATAACAAAACTAATCAGATTCCAATCTCTTAAAGTAACTATTTCTAATTATTCCCAATTCGAAACAATAAACAGAAATTTAGCTAAAACTGAACTGAAATTGCAGTTTATTAATTGCCCCAATTGGATTTTGGTCCGGTGTATTTCATCAATTACAGTTGAGGGAACCACAACAAAAACTCAAGAGAGGTATCGTCAAGAAAAACAATTGATAATGGTAACTCATGATATCCAGGTTGTGTTGAAATTAAATCATTCACAACAATCAGATCAAATACCTTCCAAGTTTGGTGCTTGTAGAAATTACTGCAACAGAACACGTCTCTTGGCTTAATCGAGATTCACAGTAAATTGTTCCCCATTTTTAGTGCAGGGAAAAACCTATAAATGGGCTTGTGCAGATTGATCTAATGGGCCGACCAAGTATAAAGTAGGATATATTAGGCCCAATACTCTGTTAAATTTAAATTGACTTTTAAAGATGAATTAATTTACATGTACAAAGTTTGTTTACAAAGTTAGTTTCGATGGTAAATGTAGGCAAAATCTAGGCCATTAATTTGAAAATGAATATACACAAATATTAGATGAAAATACAATATTTTAATTTTAAATAATATTATTATGAAATTCAATTAATTATATATCAAAATCCTAGTATTTATTTCTTTCCTCCTCAATCCATTCTCTCTCTACTCTACCCTATCTCTTCTTCTCTCTACCTCATCATCGTTGCCCAATGCCTAGACATCAAAGCAGCACTACATGAGGCTGTGCACCATTGTCAACGAGACTTCTCTATGCAGTGTCGCGTGAACAAGCAATTCGCAAGGTCAAGGAGGCTTCTTTGCTGCAATGCAGCCCAAAGCTGCATTATAGAGAAGTCGGGCATCGAGGTGTCTCATGCAGTAAGAAATTTTAACTAGAAATATATGTTAAATTAGCACTAGACGGTAGGTATTTTTAATCTACATTTTTTGTTTGACCAAGTATTATATAATAGTCCCCAATTCATTTCTATTTATTTATAATTTAATCACATTATAGTCACCAATCAGACCTGTAGCACATTTAAAACCTTATAGATCTTAAATTCTCATTCCATGACAAACTGATAGTATTCTAGTATTTTTATTTTTATTTTATTATTATTTTTTTAATAACGGCCAAAATTATTTTGCACCGCAGCAAAGGCTATACGATTTGAAATATATGCTTTCTATGTAGGTTAAATTTTTAATCATTGCTAGAGCATCTTCAAAAAATACTTTAAACATGAAATATTCTCTATTTTAAAGAAAATCATGCTCTTAAATTGACATTTTAATTTAGAGAGTGAGTGTGACTCTCTATAATCAAATGCATTCCAACTCATTCAACATTTTAACTTGAGGAGCAAAACTCCATAATTAAATGCATTCAAAATATTTTAATTTTTAATGTAGAAAAATAATAAAATAATCTAGAGATCAGCTAGATAAAATAAAATATAGAGAAAATAATAAATATTTTTTGGGAGTAGTAAAATTAATTGTTAAATATAAAGAGCTTGTTAAAGTATTTCAAAATTTCAACTCTCTAAACTTATACATACTCTCCAAATGATAAAATATGTTCTTTAAAAATAGAAAATTTCTTGAAGATGTACTTGTCATGTTTGGTCTTGCTAGAATACCTTATTTTGGTTACTCCACAAATCTTCTTTGGTTTGCTACCATCAACTTTCTATTGATTTAATGCCCAAAAAATTCAGTTCATCTCTACTTGATCTAATCTTAGATTTAGTATTTCAAATCTTATATGTATAGAGAAGTATATATTTATCCAAAATACATGCAATAAAATTTTTGTATACGGCGCAATCATTTTAATTAAAAAAATTGGACCAAATTATCAGTTAAGAGAATAATATATTTAAAATCACATCGATTCTATTCTAAAACTGTTCTAGAAATGAGAGTTGAAGGTGGATTTCCTCGTCCAGATTAAGATTGCTACAATGTTTGTTAGTATAACATTACAAGATAATTTTAACAATTTATTTTGTTAATTTTATCACATTTTTATTGAACACAAAAAGGAAATTGTTCACAAAGAAAGAAAGTTTATTCTCTTAATTTTCATATAAACCCCGAAGGGAAAATCTGTTAACAATGATCCAAACATAAAATGAGCAAAATTTGAACAGTGGCTGTAGCCATGCTACTTATTCTAGAATTCAACTGAACAAAGCGCAACGGAGAACAAAGGGATTGTAACACGACGGGAAGCCTCAAGCTTGAACAGAAGCCATGTGAACAATCAAATCAATCACACGAGAACTGCAATAACAACAAATATTCATTGTGTCAAGCTCATGAATCCACCATTTTTGGTCCGAAAATGATAAGAACATGAGAGGGAATATAAAAGGAAAAGAGAGATTGAGTTTACCTGTAACCCCATTCATTGTCATACCACGAAACGAGCTTCACAAATTTCTTGTTAAGAGCAATCCCAGCCTTGGCATCGAAAATGCTTGACCTGCCCAAGGAAAAGAATGCATCGAATGATAATCATCTTATAAACTGATTCGATACACCAAAAAGGTCCTTAAAATTAAGGGTTACTCACCGGCTATCACCCACAAAGTCGGTGGAGACAACGTCGTCTTCGGTGTAACCTAAGATACCCTTGAGGTTTGTCTCCGACTCCTCCCTGAGAAAAACCAAGAATGAAATTTAGGGGTAACTCAAAAAGTATGTAAATATAACTGGGAAAAGATTAGAATGTTCGCTAACTTGATGGCAGCTTTGATCTCCTCGTAAGTGGCCTCTTTATCTAGCCTGACAGTGAGGTCCACCACAGAAACATCGACTGTCGGAACTCGGATGGACATCCCGGTCAACTTTCCATTTAGGGCAGGAAGCACTTTACCAACAGCCTAAAAATTTGCATAGCAAATCAGACAAGCAAAGGTAACAAAATCTATCAAACCGGCACTGTTTCCTTGGAATTACTAGCAATGGGTAGATTGTCCATATTAGACTTCAATATTTAAGTACCTTGGCAGCACCAGTGCTGCTGGGAATGATGTTGAATGAGGCAGCTCTTCCACCTCTCCAGTCCTTGTTTGATGGACCATCGACTGTCTTTTGAGTAGCTAAGTTATCACAATAACAAAAAAATTGTCAACATCTGTACTCACGACTTACATTTTCTATCACACATAATCGAGCACGAGCAACCACTCACCAGTAATGGAGTGAACGGTCGTCATGAGGCCCTCAACGATACCAAACCTATCATTAATGACCTGCCAGAATTTAAATTTTCAACCAACACGATAACCTTAGCAGGGATGATAAATCAGATTAAGATAGTTAATAGAGACTAAAATAAAGAGTAAAGCTGAAAAACCTTGGCCAGTGTAGCAAGGCAATTGGTGGTGCAACTTGCATTAGAGACAATATTCAGATCAGGCTTGTATTCCTTCTCATTCACACCAACGACAAACATGGGAGCGTCTTTGCTCGGAGCAGAAATGACGACTTTCTTAGCACCACCCTGGTATTGTTCGATCAACACAAAGCACAATCAGTTAATTAAAAGCACGAACTTCAAAATTCTAAAAGCTCGAGCTTGTAGATCCACAGCGGAATGACACAAGTACAGCAACTAAAAGAAGAAAAAGTCATTAGGCTAAGCTAAAACATTTGTTTCAGTACAAAAATTGAATAGATAAAACACATCTGCACCCCAACAATTGTTAGTATTTCAGGAATTTATACAAAAAAATGGCTTCTCAATGTAACCAGATAATCAGCACAACAGGTACAAAGACAAAATTAACAAGACGTAGAAATGTCTAAATAGCTAAAACAAACTCTGATGGTAATGCAATTGAAACATAAACTTAATTACGAATATTTCATTAGTGCAAGTTTGTTACACATTCGATAAGACTAATGAATAAAACTGGACTGTATATTCACAAGATTTAGCTTCTTTTTTTCAGTTAATACTAACTAATACTATCCAATCATCTCTACCAGACATATCATAGAAGATAGATCAGTAAAAGACCTTCAAGTGGGCAGCAGCCTTATCCTTGTCTGTGAAAACTCCAGTAGACTCAACCACAAACTCGGCACCAGTTTCGGCCCACGGAATTTCCTCAGGGTTCCTAAATTTACCAATCATTAGAAAATGAATTCTAATAATTTTTCTTAGTTTTCAAGAATTTACACAGAAAAAATTAAAATCCAACCTAAACCCAAAAACTTTAACTGGACTATCACCAAAAAGAAGCGTCTTTTCATCCTTGACCTTCACCTCACTGTGCTTCCAGTGCCCGTGCACACTGTCATACTTAAACATATATCTCTGCACAATTTTTTAGTCAGATTAATCAGAAAAGTAGAGAACATTCATGTACATTAAGGTAGGTAGAAACAATACCATATAATCAGTGGTGATGAATGGATCATTAACAGCAACAAGTTCTACATCATCCCTCTGCAGAGCAACTCTTGCAACCAAACGACCAATCCTTCCAAATCCTGATTATAATTTCATTTTTTTCATAAAAAATTCAACTTTAACAACAATTTTCAAAACCCATTTCAAGAAAGATCCAAAAATGATAATTAAAAAAAAACAAAAATTATTTACCGAAACAATGCACAATCAAGAAAATAGGAAGTTTAGCCGTGCTTAGAAGCTGATGTTGTTGAAAACAATCAGTTTTTTAAGCAAAAAAAAGAACATTGCTGATGAACTGAACAAAATCAAGAAAAAAAAAAATTTACCATTGATTCCAATCTTGATCTTCCCCATTTGTCTTAGAAAGAGAGTGCAACTGTGTTGAACTTTTGAGAGAGTTGGTGTGGAGAAAAGTAGGTGATTTTGAGGATTGTTTATAGGCAGGTGATTATGAAACCAGCAGGATTAATACGCGGCTTTTATACTTTTTCTTGACTTGGAGAAAAAGAAAAGAGAATTTCAGACAATAAAATTATTCTTAATGCAGTTGTTTTTTTCAAGAATTCTGGATGAGTACACTGATTTTGTCTTTCTGGGGAATCATGAAAACTATTTATCATTGGAAATATCTTTAGTACGTAAAATACTTTCTAGATATTTTAAGACTGTCGAGAACGTTCAATTTCGTTGAAAAGTACTTTTTCATATATTCATTGCGATACATCTACGTAAGTCAAAAAAAATTAAAATTAAAATTAAAATTAAAATAGACTTTTAACTTTTGAAGTAAGCCGAAAATGCAAAACGATCAATTTTGTTAATTCTCATGTTTCTGTTTTATTTAATTCTCATGTTTTATTTAATTCAACGTAATAAAGAAGCAAACCATAATTAATTATTCTTACCCTTTCAACAATCATAGTTTTATTCTAGTAAAATATTTGATTAGTGGGTGGGTGCAAATTGTGTTTGGAATATTCGAGGAACAATTCAAAGGATCCTATGTTGATAGATCGAATTATGGAAAAATGAAAATGCTGACCTTTAAGTCAATCTTTTACAGATTGATTGAGGTACCAATGGGAAGTTTCTCTCTCTCTCTCTCTCTATATCTCTCTTTTTTATTGATGAGATTTTAATTCAATCAAATCTCATCATATAATCTGTTGATAATTAAATTTATAAATTATAAGTTGGAAATTTTCTTTTATTAATTATTATTACTCTTTCAACAACAAAAATTATGAACATTCTGAAGTTTTATTTGCATTAAAATTACGGTAAGCTACACAAAAATTTTTTAGCATTGCGTTTGATTCTAAAATATTTTATATAAAGAAGTGGTATTTTCATTGATAGACGAATAAGTACTTCTAGTAATATTTCACAATTGATATATTCAGGCCTCGTTTGGGAGGAATTTTGAGAATTGATTTTTTGACCGTTAGAAGAAAAGTGGGTTGACCAGTAAGAGAAGAAGTCAAAAATTACGGCTAGAATAGTAAAATAACGGTCAAAAAATTAATTTTTTGGGTAAAAATCCCTCCCAAACAAGTTGTCAATTGTATAATAGAATGTTAATGAAGTAGAAAAAGAAGATAAAATTCAACTTAATTTATTGAGTTAATATGGTAATTAGATAATTAAAAAATTAAATTGTTGATTTATCTTTCTCTTCTATAACGTGTTGTACTGGAATTGTGAACATAGAAGTTTCTTTAAACTGTCATAATTATTTAATTGTCCTTTTAAATTAAAATGAAAATAGGAAAAAAGAGAAGAAAGAAGAAGAAGAAGAAGAACAAGAAGAAAAGGGAATAATATTTATGGAAGGTGAAGTTTTGAATGTTGATTGATGAGTAATTGAATTCTGACCCGGAACTTCATTTTACGCAGGACCCGCGACCTCTTTGAAAGTAATGCCCAACTTTTCCTTCTTCTAGATATATTTTTGGCCTTTTCTAACCGATTGTATGGTAACTCTTCTGGCTTTTTCATGCAATCTTAGACCAAGCCTTGTAATCTTCTTTCAAAATTCTTCTTTTCTCGTACTTATTTTTAATCGCACATTCTCACAATAAAATATTATTTTCATAAATTCAATTTTTTTCTATTTGTAACCACACATTCTCTAAAAAATTTATTAAATCATTCAAAAACTCATTCTTTCCAAGAAATGATTGCCAACCATGGATTCACCATTTAGAGGTGTAACAGAGGATTGGGTCATTTAAAAATAAGACGAGTCAATTCTTCGTTAATTTAGAGTTTGTTCAGTAAGATTTTTTTTTTCCTCTTTTATTTAACTTATAGTGAAAGAGTTCTTTGAAAACCGTTATCTTATGGCAGCTTTCTCTAAAATCTCTTGTAGGTATATAAAGAATTTTTATAAAATTATCTTAAACCATAGTTATCGGACCTGACCCGATCATTGACCAGGAAAAATCATCAGGTCATTGGGTCAATGGTTCAACCGGAGGTTAGTGGTTAAACTAGTGGGTCGATATTAATTCTTAATTATGATTAAAAATATTTTTTAAAATAAAAAGACAGTATATATGTTATTTTATATCATTACAGTTAAACTAAATAAATATATTTGGCTCACATTACTTCTTGCAATTCTCCATCTACCATGGTGGTCAAGACTTCAATCTTTTAACAAGGTAATGCGGGTTCAATTCTTACTTCATGCAACTTTGATATAAATTTTGTCAGGTACCAATTTCACAAAAATCGGTTCACATGTGAACCGATTTTTGGTTCACCTAAACTTGCTCGATTTATGACATATATGAACCAATTTGGATGGTTCTTGTCTGATTTGATTGTAAATGGACCAAATTGTGATAATCGGATCGGATCAGTGTCTGATTCACCGGTTTTCAGGCTGAACCGATCGGTCCGATCCGATTTTAATAACTATGTCTTAAACAATTTCTTAATATTAGATGTAATTTTTATCTTGAGGGAATTACACCTAAACCCATTTTTGAAGTTTACATTTCATTAATCAAATTTTATATTTGTTCTTTCATAAATCATGTATAGCCTATTCACCCCACCAATCTCACTCCTTAACCCTAATTCATTTTCTATCCAAACAAAAAGTTACAGAAACTTACCCAGCACCTTTCACATTCTCCGACGTTTTTCTCACTTCTCCAACATTGCAATGCAATGCAATGCTGCAAGTAAAGTAAAGCTATTGCTACCGCGTAAGGGCCTCTTCGCACTATTATAAGAATCGACGAGCCATCCTGCTCCTCTAATTTGCTTTCGAATTGCCTTGTGCAGCGGCGATGGGCACCTTTGTGCATCATAACGATGCCTCGTTGCCATTGCTACAGTAGAGTGCGTTGTTGCTTAGCCGTGCTATCCTCCGATTTGCCCAATTGCTGCATCGTTGTTTAGATATAGTTTCTAGGGTGGATTTTGTTGGTGGTTTGTAAATGGTGGTGGTTGTTTATAGTTTGCAAAATGGTGGTGAGGCGTGACATTTAGGAAGTGCTGATGGTGATAGAGTGAAGTGGGGTGGGATAGGATGAAAATCATTAATAATAAATTATTTGGGTGATTGTAACTAATAAAATAGATAATTTGTAATTAATAATTAAGACCTGATCGATAAAATGGGTGATTTGAGACCAATAAATAATGTGATATAAAAAATGTATCATTACGATTAAATTTGTAATTGTGATTTACAATTTGTGTTCTTGTGATTTTGATCTTATGCGATTTGTGATTTTAATTATAATTGTGTGTTATTGTGATATTGACCTGTTATCAGATAGTTATAAATGTAATCACCTGATTTTTTGAAACTTTTTTACAGGTTTCTTATTTTTCAGAAATTTTGCCAAATGAGCCCTTAGTTTAACCCAACATAGAATGAGACTTGGTCTCTATTTGATTCATCTAAACAACTTGATAAAAATTTAAATTAAACTCAAATAATTAATTTTAGTTACGCATTTCATGAAGTTTTAACCCAATTTTTATCAACTTCTCTTGACTTTTTTGTTTATTTTTTCAAAACTATACACAAAAAATATGGGCAAATTACAAAAATATTCTTAAAATTAGAGGTCCTTTGAAAAATTATATGAACAATATTTTGGAACTAAAATACTGCGTAAAATTAAGTGACATTCACTTTTTTATTTGTCACTTTTTAAAGTTAAATGATACTTTTTATTAAAAAGTGATAAACAACTTTTATTAAAAAGTGATGTTTGTCACTCAAAAAGTGACAGAAAAATGACTAACATTAAAAAAAGTGACAAAATTTAAAAGAAAAGTGATAAAGATTCAAAAAATGACAGTAAGTCAAAAAAGAAAAAAAAAAAGAAAGTGACACATCACGTCCCTCCTTTTTTTGGTTCATCGCAAAGCATTTTTAAATCAATTCATCAACAAAACACAATCAAAACGTCGAGCATCTATAAATCAATTCATCACCACTGTCATCTACCGAAAATTGGTTAAGTGTTAAAACCAAAATATGGAAAAAGTGACGTTCGTGTCAATTTTGGTCAAATATTCGGATTTGATCCAATTGTCAAAACCCAAATGTAAATAGACGTTTGTTCTACTCGTTGAGTAGATCACGTGGTATATTTGAAATCTCAAAATGAATTCTAGGTAAATGAGAAATTGCTATCCAAAGTTGGAAGAAAAATAGAGGAAAAACTGACATGATTTTTTGATTAACTTTTGTCACCTACCTACTGCTCAAGCACGAACATATTAAAAAAGGGCTATGCTTAGTGTACATAATTTTGTGTACACTCCCCATACTCATGTGAGTGTAAGGACACCATTATGTACATAAAATTATGCACAAGTAGCTTTATCCATTAACAAAAGTGACAAATACTATTTAAAAAATTGACAAACATAAAAAATGTAGCAAAAATAAAATAAAAAATAAAAAAATTGACAAACACGAGTCTCCCCCTCTCGACCATATCCGAGAAGAAGTGTTATCTAGACCTTCTCCTCCAAATCTCCATAAAGGATTGCATTATTGACATCAAGCTGATGGAGATGTCAATTACGGCCTGCAGCAATTGCCAAAACACAACGGACAGTCACAAGTTTGGCTACAAGGATAAAAGTGTCATGATAATCAAGGCCTTTAACTTGGGTGTAACCCTTAGCCACCAATCAAGCTTTATACCTTTTAATGGAACCATATGTATGAAGTTTGGTTTTTAATACCCACTTACAACCAATAAATGTCTTGCAAGGAGGAAGAGTAGTGAGACACCAAGTGTGAGTTTTAAGTGCTTGAATCTTAGATTGCATATAATCACACTATTCGCTAAAATACTACATGTCGCAAGCGCATGGGTCGCGTTCAAGTAATAAAGTGGACTTTTAAGTCCAGATTTTCGATCCCTCGAGGAATGTATACTTTCGATTATATAACTTTAATTAATTTAATTCTAACAATAGAAATAAACACAAACAATTAAAAATATGGTTTTTAAATATGGAAATTAACTAAAATTTACAAATTAAGAAAATATGAAAATCTTGGGAATTTTCGAAAGCAAACGTGATTGGAATTCTTGGTTTCATTTAACCGTCG